TGTGCATTGGGTATTTCCTGTCTCCCTTCAATAACAAGCTGTATATTTCAAAGTTGGGAGCCTTCAATGAAATTACTTGTCAACTGCAAATTTGGGAAAGGAAACTGGCCCATCCTGACTCTTTTATTACTCAGCACCATCTCCCTGCATCCTCTCAGGCATTGAACCTAAAATTTAAGGAAATATAGAAGTAGACAAGTACAGTTCAAGTGGATAATGCTGTGTGCAGTGCATATTATATTTAGTTCTCCTGAGCTTTAACTCATAGTATGCTGCTGTGGCAGCCATTTTGGGTTAGTTCAAAGAATCAAACAGCAAAATAAATGAAGAAGTGTAGGAATAAACAGTAATTAAACTGGGGTCCTCTGAGAAGAGACACTATGAGGAGAGACACTAGTTTAAATAGCCTTGATTTACAACCAGTTACTTTGCAACCCTTTGAAGTTATTACAGGCTCAGAAAATGCGATTTGAAATTCTGATGTCCGGATTTCGCCTGTACAGTCATGTGACTGCATGTTGGGCATTCAGCAACCAGCCTGCATTGGCAGTCATGTGCAGCACCCTGTAATCATGTTACCATGCTTTACAATGTTTTTTTTGCCAGAAACTGGCATTTACTTTTAATTTTTAGCCAAAACCACCTCATAGCCAACTATGGGTTTGCTTAACAACTGCAATGTTCATTTAATGACCATAGCATTGAATTTACAATGGACACATTCACTTTACAACAGCTGCAAAAAAAAGATCATAAAATTGGCATGGATACATGTTGACCTTCTTTATGACCATGGCAACTTACGACCGAAATTGTGTGCTCAATTATGGTTGTAAGTCAAGGGCGAACTGTACTTTTCTGCTGCATATCTTCTTCTCTATCTTCTTTACAATTTCTGGAGAAATACACAAAGCTCCATTTTCCTTAAACATGATTCAGGAAACAAGTTAAGGCCAGAAATGAAGCAAGTATATTACCTAGTATGATATTTACATCATGATTGGCATAATTGTTATCACAAAAAGTGTTCTTTTCTGTCATCAAATGATAGGATAGACCACAAGTTTAGTGTAGTTACTCAAATGTTGTCAAGAAATATGACAGAGCAACCTGGGTTGTATCTCATGAATTTTAATGAAAAAACATGTTCTCATGGAGAAAACTGAATATTAAATTATAAAGAACATAACATACAGTACATCTTTAAGACACATTATGTGGAGAACAGAAAAACCCAGACATCCATAACCAAAACTTAATTCTCCTATTTCAAATTGAAAAGTGTTATTTCCTTCTTTAGATGCACATAAATGAGATGCTCATTTTCAAACAAATTGCTAACAAAATAATAACAAAGTCTGAGTGAGTCAGATAAATGTAACCTTACACTTGAAAACAATCACACTTAACTCAAACAGACCTGTTTTACCATCACAGTACAGTCTTCTGATTGTTTCAATTTCTCACATACTTCAGTACAGATAACCTATTGCAGCAACGTGCTTCTCTGACACGGAGAAGTAATTCATCCACACAAAGATAATATTAATTTTCAGACAATTGCTACTCATTGGATGTTTGAGACTATGCATCTTGAAGAAAATGAAACTTCCAGGACCCCACTAGAGCTTAAAGGTCGAGCATTGAGGAATCGAATCCTCAGGCAGCCACCCCACTTCTCCGTAACTTTCTGTTTGAGATATGTTTTTTTTTTTCAGCCGAAAAGATTTTATGAACTGTAAGACCCCTTTCACCCATGTTTCCTTTCAAGTGTTGCATTTCATCTGAGAATTGAGAATGACATGAAAAGAGAGGGGGAGGGAGACGCTGCTTCTTTTGGTACACATTACTTTCTTTTGTGAATCCCTTTGATGCTATCATTCAGGACCCAGAAATAAAGCAGAGCTCCAGCCACCTGCCATTTTGATCTGCTGGGACTATGGATCTTTTTCTTCCCAACACCCATCCTGTATACAACATCTTTCTTACAAAAGTTGATGAAATGATTTCCATTTTATGGTTACATGTTCAAGCAGCCACACTAACCTTATTGAGAAACCTATTTTGCAATACCATTTCATTCAGTCCCACCTATTTCTTGCTTTTAGTTCCAAAGCCGAATCTAACAGAGTAATGCAGAATAGATGCCTCACTTGATAAAACATGGTTACCCATCCCTATCTTAAAGCACTTGACAACAGCATCACAGGCAATGTTTCTAAACCAACAACCAAATTATGTAATTGCAAAACTAGTCTGAATTATACCAAAATGGCTCTCACACCATTTAAATGAAACAGGTGTTGTTCTAAGACATAGGCACATTAAACATACAATATGGGTGTTCTATAAGGTATGCACCTCCATTTCAAAATTCATGCCAGTCCTTACAGTTTGAACATGCAAAGTTCCAGTTCCTTTTTATATCTTTTATACCATTCCAATTCAACACGTATCTACTGTTTGATCCTCATCTGTATTCAATCACAGTTACAAGTCTACAAGTAAGCCTGAACAATTTACTTGGGTGTTGATGTGACACTCTGCAGTTTCCACTTATAAGCTGTAGAAACAGAAGCAGAATATTAATGTGACCAGTTTATATATGAACACAAAGACAGATACACTTTTATCAGACCTTCTAATGGATCTTTCCTCTACTGAAGCCTTATTTCTAGAATCAAGTTCTGAACCATTAGATAGCATAAGATATTTGGGCTGTTACTGGTTACTCTAAAAACAACAACAACAGGTTTTCATAAAGAGAGAGAGAGATCAGTACACTTAATTACAAGAATCTAGCACATCTCCACCTTTGTACATTCAAAACAAGTCAGTGTGGAGTAATGCAGGATTCAGTAAATCTGCTAAGACAAAATGCCTGGTTGGTTCCCACAACAGGTTCAGCCATAAACTGTCCAATATATTAGCTTCTGGTTCCATCTATTTGACTTTACTGTTTTGATCCAATTTTCTCCACCTGAATTGACCATACAATTCAGGGCTCTGGCCTAGAGTTCCATGTGGTCTACATGAAGCTACCCTCCATGAATAAAGGGGAACTATAGCCTTGGTCTCCGACATCAGGCACCCCTCCCCCCAGCCGTCACGTGACATTTCAAGTATTGGCATCAGGCTTGTTTTTATGACCGGGTGCAGCATCCCATAGCCATGTGATCATAATTTACAATATTTTTTACCACTTTGCAGAGTCCCAGGATGATGTGATCATCTTTTACAACCTTCTAATAAACAAAGTCAATGGGGAAACCAGATTCACTTAATAACTGTGTTTGGGCAAAACCTATTTAACAAATTTGTCACTTAGCAACATAATTTCTGGGCTCAATTGTGGTCGTAAGTCGAGGACTACCTGTATTGGAAAAAAAAAACCCTGTCCAGTCATATGGGTACCTTTACTTATGACTGCAATGATTTATGACTGAATTTCTGGCCCTAGAAAGTCAGAATTACCTGTACTGTATTGCCAATCCCTGTCACATGAGGATGTCTAAAGGCTTTTAGTAAAAAAATAAATAAAGATGCAACGAAAGAAAATGCTGGGAACTACATTCGATCTGACTCTTCAACCCAATAAAGGATAGAGATGTTGGGAAGTCTCCTTCCCCATATTTCCACTTTCAGTTTTCATAGGAATAATTTGAATACATGTGTAGGGCTAGTACACTGGGAGAGGAATGCGTAGGAGTCATACCCAGCTACCCAGCTACCAATCTACAAGTATTGTATAGCATCACAGAAAGGAAAAACCTGCATGGGATATAATACATAGCAAACTAAAATTGTTCCAGACTTTCTTTGTAGGTTGTACGATATTTGCAAATCTTAAAACTAGGTGAGCATTCTTAAATCCAGAGGAGGCAGATGTTATTTTTCTCCAATAGGTGACCCTTTAGACCAGTGATGGCAAACCTTTTTGGCACTGAGTGCCCAAACCGAAACATGTGTGCATCCACGACAGAAGCAAGACTGTCCCTGCTGAGAATCAGGAAGCTCCCCAGAAGCAGAGCAGATAAAAAGAGAATACTGGAAGAGAATCTCTCTTGTCTATTATACTGTACCTTTGCATTTTTTTTAACTTAGTGATAATTGCCTTTTTGCATCAGAATGGGGATGAAAGGAGCCAATTAACCACTAAATGGAAAATATGACAAGCAGAAATAAACAGTTTATTGAGAGAGGGAAGCAGGCAGGCAGCCAGCCACCCAGCTTTCTGTCTGGATTCTCAGATTATTCTTTGAGGTCTTGCCTGCAGGCTATCTTGAGCATCCATCAGACAGACATAGGTACTGGATTAACTTTATTTCCCTAGTGCTCTCTCATCTAAGAAGGACTTCTTAAGTAATTTTAGAAGGGATTTTCCACCAGTTATTTCAGTCTATAATCCATCCATGAGTGTGTTTTTAAGATGGTTTTAGTCACCGAAACTCAAAGTATTCTTTGTAGTTTAGAATTTGGAAAAGGATCAAATTGGGTTTAGTCAAGGTCTACAATTGTTCTTATTTTTTTTTCCTGGGCTACTATAGGAAGAAGGGCATTATAGAAATAAAATTAGTTGAGGAAGTTACCTCTTAAACCCCGGAACTGAGTATCTCTTAATTACTAAACCTATCTAATGAAGAATGAGGGAACTTTGGAGGAAAGGTCCAAAGAATGGTAGCTACTTCCGAAGATCAATAGCTTTTGGACTGCCAGCGATCTCTCTGCTTGCCAACTACAACTGGATGAATGAGTTTGTAGCCAGAGCCTCCCTAATCAAGTAGCTGGTTTTCTATGCTCAAATTTAAGTTAATCCTTGGAAGCACAAGATCCTTCCAAACCATCTATAAGTGTTCAAAGCTATCCTGGTTATGGAGCCGCTAGGTTTGGTTTACTTTTCTTCCCATCTCCATTGCACCCAACATGTCAATCTGTTCATTTGATAGCTTCTGACACATCCCTTGTTAAATGGGAAAGAACATTCTTTCCCTCTGACTTACAAATACAGACTGGTTTCTGAGAAGACCACTGGCTACTTTTTTGACAAGTGATTGTTTTCTTCCCCTTCAGTTCAAATGCAGGCTGGCATTCAAATGTCAATGAGTCTCCATGGCGAAATGTTGACCCTTCTCTCTTGCCATACGCGAGCAATCCAGGATCTCCACAGCTTCCCTGGTCAATTTCTAGAAGAAACACAAATAAAGATATGAATGTAGGGAACATAAAGGAAATCTCTGCATGCAATTTTTTATCTGGTATTTTACTCTTGCTATCATAGCAATTCTTTCCATAAGCACACACACACACACACTCATCAAAAAATATAGGTCAGGCTTGTTTGCTTTCATAATGCTTTGGGAAAACTTCTAATGTCACAGCAGAAGAAGTCAGAAGGACCAGTGTATGACCCTTCCAGCTCCTGGGCACATTCTCTACTTAGACTATATTCTTCCTTTGCTCTTGCAGGCAATTCCTGGGAAATTAGTCCATAAATGGAGTTAGAAATAGAAGAAACAGATTTAAAAAATCAGGATTGAAGTAGATGTTACAAAAGACTCTGTTCCTGTCATTCTTCTTCCTTTTAAGTTTATAGACTTCAAGATGTTGAAGGAAAAAAAGAAGACAGACAAATGTACCAAATCTCCCCTAAAGATAAAGCTATTCAAAACTGTCATGTGAATCACTGAAATGATATGAATATTTTCCTTCTGTTCTTCTTTGATTGCCAGGTTGAGGAGTTAATCCATTGCATTGATAAAATGCAATTTGCTTGGATTTTATTCTAGGGTGTGGCTCAAAGCCAAACATTTTGGCTTTGCCTAACATTGAATTATGCCTTAGAACATTGTGTTCTTGGGGTTCATTCAGCCAAGGAATGAATATCAGCATCAAAAGTGGGAGAAGTGCTACTGACCTGGTACAGGTGCACCTGCTGTACCTGTCAACACCATCTTAAAGAAGGCACTCCTTTTCCTGAACTTACATGGTAACTACAAAATTCCCAAACAATGTATGCTTCAATTCAGGGAATGTCAAGGGCATAGAGACAGGTAGAGTAAAGGTGTATATGTTGGTCCTGAAGCACTTTTCCCATTTCAGATCCAAATACTGCAGATGCCTCTCATGAGGGATGTCTGCTGGGTATGGTCAAAAAGTCAAGACTGTGGCCCAAACAATGCCATCACAGTTCTACCTGCGGTTTTTTAAATAAAAGTTTGCAGTACACATAAAAATTGATGGAGTTTCCATTGCATTATTGTGACAGCTATCTTGACATTTTTTTTAACCATGCCCTGTGAAGACCCACGCCTACCCTTAATCATGACAAACATGGACAAGAAGGAAATGTGAGCACTGCTACAGTATATGGGATAGGTTGAAGAGACAAACAGAGCAGCGATTCCCTCAAGGGTTTTTTCAGATGATGCACCCAAAGCTCTCCTTGTGTCACACATAAAACATTGCCTCTTAAAAAATCATACTCTGCAGTCACTCTGGCCATTTTTCATTATCAGTTTGCTTTTTGTAATTTAAGAAAACTAGTGTGAACAATCTTAACCAGGGGTGGGATTCTACCAGTTCCGATCAGTTCTATAGAATCGGTTGTTATGATTCTGCGCAGTTCTGAGAACTGGCAAATCGAACCACTGGCTGGTCCCTCCCGTCCCCACCCACCCCACCCCACCCAGGAGGCTTCCCTGAGGCCCAGTCAGGGGTGGCTATTCAGGGGCTTGGGGGAGGGAGAAGTGGCCTGAGAGCAGAGCTGAACCTTCCTTAGGATTGAAGCTTCTATTTTTCAGT